CAAGCATTTAACCACTATCACACTGCCACTTACTGACTCCCTAACATAGATTCTGATCCTATTCAGAATATATGAATTTAGAGACAGCTGAGTTTTCAACAATGTCGTAAGGGTTAGTCAAAATCAAAAAAGAATAGCAGGAAAAATGTAAAAGTAATTAAAAAAAAAACACTTAAAAACACACTTACTTGTGATCAGATAAATCCAAGTAATAGGGTACATATGCCAGATCTTCAGATTTCCAATGCTGCATATTTAAGACAACAAAAGGGGGTGCTCCATGGCAGAAAATTCTTTGGGAAAATTCTCTTAAGCCACCACACCTAAAATGGAAAACTATCATGAACATTACTACAATTGGGACAAAGCTGCCTTTTAACACTTCTGGATTGTCTTTATGACTTTAATTTCCCAGAAGTTTAAGTCATAAAGTCATACAGGTAAATTTGTAAGGTAAATGTTATTCTTTTTAGGTACTGTTGAGTCTGTGCTGACTCACAGCAACCCTATGTTCAACAGAATGAAACACTGCCCAGTAAGTATGATACATAGGTAAGCATAATTACCTATCGTAAGTATGGGCAATGGTTTGGCTTATTACCCAATCTATCTATTCCCAGGAGCCATGGTAGTGCAGTGGTGAAAAGCACTCAGCTGATAACCAAAAGTTTAGTGGTTCAAACCCACCAGCCAATCTATGGGAGAACGAGGTGGCAGTCTCCTTGTGTAAAGATTGATAGCCTTGGAAACCCTGTTCTACTCTGTCTTACAGGGTTGTTATGAGTTGAAATCAATTTGAAGGCAATGGGTTTGGGTTTTGTTTTACCTGTTCCTAGAGTTTACAAGCTGTGAGATTATTTGTACTGGAAATGATACTTTAAAAACTCTATAAAAAGTTCTGCTGAACTGATATAATAGCTTTTTCTTAGTATTATCAGGTATTGAACACATGGATCAGAATATAACAAATAAAATTATACAGTAAAATCTTGATTAACCACAATGCTCAGGGTACAGTATTCTGGTTAACAAACATTATTGACTAAACTAAGTTAACCAGAAAACTATTACTGTTGTTCTATTTGTTACTAAAAATGCTTCTAAAACACATTAGTTCACCTTCTGGACTTAATAAGTACAATTAATTAAACAGTTTAATCTTTTCTTCTTTTGTAATTAATCAGTTGTAAGATTATCCTTCTAAATACTCATTGTACAATATTATAGATAAAGAAACTGTTAAGAGAATGGGTTGAATATGTTCTACTCTGGATTTTTTGTTTGCTTTATCATGTTGAATTTTTTGGTTGCCCTTTACCTCTTTCTCCTAAATGTGCAGTGCAGAAAAAAATCCAGTTAATTGAGGGTCCCGATTAGCTGGGTTCCGGTTGTTGTTGTTGTTATGTGCCATCGAGTCGACCCCGACTCATAGCAACCCCTCCTTGGGTTTCCGAGGCAGTATCACTACAGAAGTAGGATTGCCCAACCTTCCTTCCGAGGAGTGGCTGGTGGGTTTG